GGCCGTGTGGCTCCACACTGCTGGCCTGAAACGGCCCCCCTCTTTATTGGGGGACAGCCGGAGCCACGGAGAGCACACAGCTTCCCTCCCCCCTCTCCCACAGCCAGGCCTCTTTAGAACCTGCTTAGATCCAGAACTTCCCTCAAGACTCCACTCAGCTCTGGCTTCTCTTTGCTATTCTGGCTCCTTCAGAGACGAGCTGTCCAGTCTGCTTCTGTTTCTTTCTCTCCCACACACCGTGGGCTCCCTCGAAGCAGGACTATGTCTCATCAGCCCCAGTGGAGAACCTGGCACATGAAAGGTACCTAGTTAATATTTATAAATAAAGTAACCCTCAAGGAGTGATGTGACTCGGGGAGGGCCAGCCAGCTGGACAGGCAGAGCTGAGAGCTGCCCTCGCCTGCTACAGTCACCCTGGGCCTTACCAGTCACTCTGGCTCCTGGGAGATGAGCCCGAGACAAGCTTGGAATGCTGACCACTGAAGGGACAGAGGAATGAACTGAGACCTTGACAGACTGCCACCAGCAAAGGAAACATGCTCACCCAGCTGATGAGGACCAGGCCATGGGCACCTCACGTCCAGGGACCCAGATCCTCCAACACACAGACCTGAGTGGGATCTTGCAGCCAATACGAACAGAGGCTACACACCGCCCAGCCACAGAAAGACACTCTCTGTACATCCCCAAGCATCTCCTCACTGGTCCCAGCCCCAGAGTGGCACAACAGGCCACCTGAGTGGCAATGCAGGAAAGGGGACATGCTTCATTCACACGGGGGCAGGGGCCTGCACAGGGCTGCAGGGCTGACCCCAGCAAGGCTCGCTCTGTATCTATATGCAGGTTGTACCCGGCAGGAAGGAGTCTGGCCCCTCCCAGAGGCCTTTCACAGTTCTAATGCTCAGAGGCTGAACTGGAAGGTATGGCCTATGGAGCTGTGTTGTTAATGACTGGTCGTAAAACACAAACTCGCATCCAGGCTCATTCCATTCAGTCACCTGTAGTGAGTCACTTGGTGTTATTCTTGATGCTGAGGACACAGCTGTGGGGCCTGCCCTAATGGGACTCATGGTTTACCAAGATGATGCAATAAACAAGACCGAATAAACACACCCTCTCCTAGCTTTGGGACTCGAGTGTCTCCAGCCCTTCCTGGATTCAGCTTCCCCGGCTGCACCAACAGACATGTGCAGTGCTTCCCTCAAGGGTCTGTTAAGGAGATTAAAGGGATTCCTTACAAGAAAAAGCACCCACAGGGTTGTCAATAAGGGGACCGGCTGCACCAGTGTGGTGGGTCCTCTTATGCTTAGAAAGGAGGCCCCCCTCTCATACGTGAGCATGGAAAGATGTTTTGCTGGAAAGTCACACTTTCATCATCGTACCAATAACACACACACACACATTTTCTATGAGCATACATAAATGCTCAGGAACAAGTCCAGAAAGTCGCACAAACACGTGATCCAGAAGACGAAAGGGACCACACATGGCTGGGGCTGCCCCAGGAAGAAGTTCCCTTTAAAAAGGAGCCTTTATCAACGATAATTTTAGAGAGAAGCTCTCGTTATGTCCCTTCTTTTTAACAGTGAATTGTATATTTTAGCTTATTCTAAAAAAGCTACACTTCAGTTCCTTGATGTTTACCCATCAACCTTGTTTCTACTGATCTCTGACCCATGAAAGGATAAAAATAAATTTAAAACAAAAAAAAAAAAAAAAAAGGAGAGGAGGGGAGGGAGATCATTCCCCCCCACCCTCTAGTTTCTGGGACTCTGCCCCACGGGTCAGCTGCCCTCGCTGCCTCCCAGGCCAACGCAAGCTAAAGGTGCAGCTGATCCACTGCAGGGGAGGTGGGAACTCCAACACCAAGCACACTCCTGGGGTTCTGTGCTCCTGCCATTTCCTGTTACTGACTCTGAGACACAATCCTAATTAGCAAATGACCTGTGCCACATCCTGAAACATCCTTATTGACCACCAAGGGAAGGGGCGGGGCCTTGACCACTGGTTTGCAGGCTGGGGTAACTAACTATATATATATATAATCTCTTCTGTGTCAGGGCTTGACACTGATGATCTCAGAGTAAGACCGGGAAAAAACCTACAGGCCACATTTACTTCACATTTAACTCCTGATTTGAACAAAGACAATCCAGGTTATGGGTACATGCCTAAAATGTGCATTTACCTAGTTACCAGGACAGCTCGGATCTGCTTTACCCAGGGAGGGAAGAATGAGGCCAGGTGAACAGGAGACACCTTCCCAGACAGAAGCTCTCAGAAATGCAGGCTGTGGGATCGAAGACAAGTCCCTGCATACAACACATCTTAACAGAAGCACTTACTGTGAGTCACGCGGACACAGGAATGGGCCTTGGGGAGCAACTCTTGCCGTCTGACACACTGATTTAGTGGTGTGGAAGCAGCAGGGTCAAGGCCCAAGGCCGGCAGCCCCAGGAAGCGTCTGTGTTTGTGGCTCAGACACGGAGCTCATACCCAAAGAAATCAATGACCTAGGTGTGCCAGGTGTCCAAACAATGTGCCAGCTTAAAAGTCTTGCCTGGAGGCCTGGGGGTGGTACAGACTAAAGGGATCTTTGACAATACCTCCTGGAGACACAAGATGCATATTCCCTCCAAACCAAGAAATCTCACAGCCTAGAATCCATCCTGAAAAAACACTGTGTGCACAAATACGTGGAGAGATATGCAAGGCCATTCCTTAATCTTGAGCAAACTCAATGCCCATTAACAAGGTATCCCTACCAAATACATTATAATATGTCCTATGGGATGCCACAACGCCACTAAAAACCAGCAAGTTATAGTATTTGGGTTCAAGTCTCGGTTCTGACTCCAATCTCTAGTTTCCATCCAACGCAGACCCTGCAAGTAATTGGGTCCCTGCCATCTGTGGGAGGCCTGGATTGAGCTCACGGTGCCTGGGGCTTTGGCCTAGCTCAGCCCTGACCATTGTGGGTATTTAGGCGGCAGACAGGAGGTTTAAAAAAGATTTTTAGTATTTATTTGAAAAGCAGAGCTTCAGAGAAACAGATTTTCTATCTACTGGTTCACTCACCAGTGGTTACAAACAGCCAGGGCTGGGCCAGGCCAAAGTCAGGGACCAAAAATCCTATCCAAGTCTCCCTTCCACGTGGATACAGAGGCCCGAATACTTGGTTCTTCACTGCTTTCCCAGGGGTGTTAGCAGGCAGCTAGACCACAGGTAGAGGAGCTCGGGCTTGACACAGCACTCCAGTAAGGGACACAGCAGCCCTAGCTAAGTAAAACCCACTGAGAGATTCTTAAAATGGTAAGACAGCTGGCTTTTCTCTAACTCAGCCACCAATATACTTGATACACCTGCCTTTGGTTTGCATCTGCAGTTTCAATCCTTCTTTTTCCAAAGTTCATTTTTGCTGCCTTTGAGGCACCCAAGCACTTACAGACATCCCTTCCACCATTTACGAGACCCTCTCGTGGAGGCGCGCTCATAGCGGAGAGCACGCTCATCTGCCAAGCTGCACGGATGCTTCAGTCACTGCAAACTGCATATTCTGACTCAAACTGGAGACTCCAAACAACAGGCCATGAGCTCTTGCAGGGAACTGGCCAAGGGGAGGTCCAGGACTCCTGGGGTAGAAGGAAAAGTAGGTGGATTCCAGCAAGAGAGTAAAGCCAGCACAAACACTGGGATTCCTGGAGCTATGAAGCTGCATCCTGTAGATGACGGCCTGCATGGGACACAGGCAGGAGACACTGCACATGCGCCACCAGAAGCTGCCATGCAGGCCAAAGGGGCTCCCCGCCCGCAACCCAATTACTTCTCTTCTTGCTGTTCACCAACCAAGAGGAACGGCTGGGCTGGCTCCAGAAACATCCATACAGAAAATACCAGTCCCATCACTCACTGACAAAGCGTGAACTCCCTTCTTCAGACTCATTAGCTGAGCTCGGAGAACCATTCACTGTCCCTCACCCCAACTCTTTCAGTGAGCCTGCGTCCCATCCTGTCCACTACACTGGGCAGCAGCTGGCTGCGCCCATGGCCAGTGAAATGACCCATGCTACGACGGATTTTCTCAAGGCCTCAGAGATAAGGATGGAGCCTAACCAGAAGGGTGGCATCACAGTGGATGAAAGAACTTCAGAGGGGGCTGGACGATGCCGAGTGGGAGGCGCTAACCTGAGCCCCTGCCACGGAACCGCCCGAGAGAACCTGTTGAAACACAAATTTCTGACCATGTTTTCCAAACTGAATTGATATTCTGAATGACAGTGGGTTCGCTTTCCATTAAAACACACACATACACCCCAAAGCCATGTGGCTCTAACAGTCACAACCACAAAGAGTTGAAGGGTTTTAAACACGTTAACAAGGACTCCGGATTCTCACCAAGCTCCCCAGGGGACTTTGAGACTAGTGACCCCTGCTCTGTGGAGGCTCAGGTTTCCCCAGGTCAGGGAAATGGCCAGGTTCAAGGTTCGTCTCCACTCCAAGGCCCTCATAGCCCCTTCTCCGCTATTCCCAGCCCACCACGATGTTTGACCCACGTAATAACATACCAGACCAGAGCACCTCTTAGCCTCCCACCTTGCCCCTGCTGTTCCCACCACACTCAGAGCACTCTCCAAGGGTGCCTCACAGAGAGAAAAGAGCCTCAGAAGTCAAGTGTCACCTGAGTTTGGCTCTGGGCTACTTCAACGACCTTGGGCAAGGGATGGTCTCCACTCCCATTTGTAAAGCAGGGCTAACACTGTTCCTAGGGAGGCAGTGGCACTGCTTGGTTCTCAGCAAATGCTTGCCAAACTTCACTTCAGCGTTCTTTATTCCTTCTCTCTACTGAGCCATGAGCGTCTTGGCAGGGTTGGGGATGTGGGCAGGTGTGGAGGGATTGTCTCCCCTTCATACACCCAGCCTAGAAGGCAGAATCAGGCCCTTGGTTGGACACCCAAAGCTTCAAAACGAATCCCTGTCCCCAGGCAGCCCTCAACTCTTACCTGCCCAACATTGAAGGTCAAGGTGATGGCATAGAAGAAGTTAGAGTTGGCACTTCCCGCATAAATCCACAGGTGCCACAGCACAGGGAAGAGCAGGGAACAGACGATGATGATGCAGGTGAGGACAAAGATGTTTCGCAGGACTGCAAAGACAGACGGCCACTGTTAGTCCAGCGCTCCCTGGGGCATCCTCTTCATGCTGAGATTGCCCAGGGAAAGCTGTGTGCACCTCAAAAGCAGAGCCCCCCCAGAGACACTGGGGTGACAGGAGACGGACTGCAGACCCCTGAGTCAATGGTTCTTCAGGCTTGGAGCTGATGGAAACGCCTAGATCTGGATTCTCGCCTCTTACCGTGAGCTGTACTGGCCCATCTGCTATGGTTAGCAGTGTCCAGAGTGCCTCTGGGCACTTTAGGAAGATGATGCCCCTTTCCCTGGTATTTAAGAACACGCAGGGTAATGCCTCCATTTTCCCTGACTGAGCCAACCTGGACTGTGAGTGGGAACTGCAGCATCAACCACAGCGAGTCCCAAGGTGCCACAGCCCAGGGACACACTGTCCTTCCTCCCTACTTAGGGTGACAGGCCTCTCTGGTTCTTCAAGTGGTCCTGTCTCTTCCGCAGAGGATGACCTGAAGATCTTTTTGATGCCCTCTCTCTTGGGCACACCCTGAGGCACAGGAGGGACCTGTTACCCAAGAGGGGCCTACAGGCAGGTAGGTGCAGTTGGCAGGGTACACACTGGACAGGGTACATGCTGGCAGAGCACACACCGGACCTCGGAGAGACCCTGGTGAGAAGTTCCGTTCTGTCATTTACTAGCAAGGCTCTCTAAGCCCTGGCTTTCTCACCTCTATAATTCCATTTTATTTTAATATTTATTTTACTTTTACTGGAAAGTCAGATCCACAGAGCCAAGAGAGACAGAGAGAAACACCTCCATCTGCCAGTTCACTCCCCAAGTGGCTGCAACAGCCAAAGCGGAGCCAATCTGAAGCCAGGAGCCTGAAGTCTCCTCCAGGTCTCCCATGTGGGTGCAGGGTCCTAAGGCTTTGGGCCGTCCTCGACTGCTTCCCCAGGCCATAAGCAGGGAGCTGGATGGGAAGTGGAACATCTGAGATTAGAACCGTTGGCCATATGGGATCCCAGAGGATGCAAGGAGAGGACTCCAGCCATTAGACTACTAATGCCAAGCCCTAAAATGGCAATTTAAGAGCAGTGTTGTGTAGATTACAGAATGGGCAAAAGGCACAATGTGTGAGAGTACTTCAGAAAACTTTTGGAAAATACATTTAAAACATAAGCTGACTTGGCTGCAGAGAAATATGAAATTCATGAACAAATTTTCAAAAAGTTAATGGAAATACGTGTTGTGAAAACATTAAAAGTTTCAAATATTTTATACCATTTTTCATGAACTTTTGTTTATTAGATTTTTCTTTGCTTTATTTGAAAGGCAGGGTTACAGACAGACAAAGATCTTCCATCTGCTGATTCACTCCCCAGAGAGCTACAATCGCTGGTACTGGATCAGGCTAAAGCCAAGGGCCTGGAACCTGAGTCTCCTGAGTGGGTGGCAGAGGCCCAAGGACTTGGGCTATCTGCTGCTGCTTTCCCAAGGGCACTGGAAGCGGGGCAGCTGGGACTCAAAATGGTGCTCATACGGGATGTAGGTATCGCAGATGCTGGATTTATCTGCTATGCCACAACACTAGCCCCTGAAGTGCTGTTATTGTAACTATTATTATTAAACAATCTTTCTAGAAGAACGGATCTGTTTGATACTCCTTCATGACACCATCACCATTGGATTTCTCAATGGTTCTTTCTGATCCTCTAGAAATTATTCTGCAGAAAATATAGACTATTCCTACAGCAGGGCTCTGGTGGCCCTGTGCTCTGGCGTGACAGGGACAGGGTGAAGGAAGCAGACAGGCTCACACGCAGCCTCTGGGCCGCAGAGATACTTTCCCACGTGCTCAGAGGCCTCGGCAGCAGCACGCAGTTGGCATCTGGCCTGTGGTGACCTTTGCAGGAATAGGGAGCCACTGCTCACTCTAGCTGGCTGACAGGCCAAGCAGATTAAAGCTAGATGCCAGAGCAGATGGAGCTAGGGGCCCAGGGCACAGGACAGCTTGTTCCAGTTATCAGGAGGCGTCGGAGGTAACCAGGGCCCAAGGAGACAAAAGCATTCACACTTCATTAGACTTGCTAGACTAAAAAAGACCAGGTCCCAGGTCCTCCCCAGCCACTGGGTGGTTTATCCAACCCTTTAGGGGTCACAGTCCCCCTCTGAGCCTCAAGCATTCAGAAAGAAAAGGTTACTTGAATAACTGAAACCCATAAGGCGGGGCACAGGAGAGATTTGGGAGTCTCAGAGGCCACAGTGATGTTTCCTTTCTTAAACTAGATGCTCAGTCATGTGAATGTACCATAGTGTTAGTCCTTGTAACATGTATTGTTAATCAACAATAGTTAATAAAAATGACACAACACTGCTCTCTCACACACAGCACTCTGACAGCTGTTTTTTCAGGTGCATGGCTGCACGCTAGCTGGCACCGGCTCTGCCAGCAGGCTGCTCCCTAACACCACAGTTGGGTGTCCGGTGACTCAACCTGGCCTCATGCTCGGGGAGCCCAGCGCCTGGGGCCTGCACTCAGGGCTCGGTCAGGTCTCTCTTTCACTCATTAACCAGAGCAGGAAAAAACCAGACAGGTAAACATACGAGCAGGCCTATCAGCACTGGCAGCTAATGCTAACACTGAATTCCTAACCACCTTGATCAGACCCAGCCTTACAGGCTTCAGTCTGCACTCCTGGGTCTCACGGACAGGGGCTGGGGGGAGGCCATGCTAGTGTACTGACCACCTTGTCCAGCTTCCGGCGGGGATGTACACTCCATGCTACCATAGCAGGGGCCAAGCACTGGCAGCCCCAGTTTTCTGTGGCAGCTTCCAACACACTGAACCTGAAAACCGCTTGCCCCACCAGCCAGTGGGGACATCTATTACATAAGCCAGGTTCTGGAAACTATTCTTTTTCGTGCTTCATTAGGCACGTAGAACCGCTTATTTCAGGTTTTTGAAAAATGTTTATTCAAATTGCTTTGGCTACCAGGCCTGAAGATTTGATCATGGAATTATGCGGAAGGTGTCCTGAATTCTTACTACTGTTGATGGTAGCTACAGTGCTAGTTCATAATTCTTTCGCAAACCTAAGACACCCAGGAAAGACATTCTCTTCATTTTACAGATGAAATAAATCAAAGGCCCAGAGAGGTTAAAAACATTTGCTTGCCAGCATGTAGTTGGGATTCAGACACATGCCAATCAGGCTACAGACTGGATTCAGTCAGTCTGCAATGAAAGATAGTGACTGAGGGCCTGAGTGGGCCAGAGCTGAGAAACAAACATCCCTGAATCGGGAAAAGAAAGCAATGTCCCCAAGACCCACCCAGTCACAAACTTGGACAAGTCCACATGTTTTGGTGGCCTAGTGATGTGTCACTGGTCACTCCACCAATCGGCACCAAGTTCACTTGGAGCCACTGGGCTGAGTGATTCTCGTCTGGACAATGCAGATGTCATGGGCAGATGTTTCCTCCTCCCAGCAGGCCAGCCTAGTCACTGCCCCACCACGCTGTCACCTGCAGGAGCAGCAAGGCTCAGTCCACCCACTTGGCTGTTTACCCTCACCGGCAGGTTAGCTGCTACAGGTACCTTTTTTTTTTTTTTTCTAGCAGCTGGTCAGTTTCACTTCCTGGTTGACACCCAGACAACCCCAAAACAACAACAAAGGTTGACTTCCTCTTAAAACCTGAATTCATTCTCGACATCTCCTTTGTGCCCACAGCTGGCAAGGAGTGCTTCAGAGCTGTTTGTTCTCTGTTCTGCTGCGGGGAATCCAACACCAATGTTTAAAAAGCATTCCCTCTCTGCAAACATTTGCTGAACTGTGTGTCAGGTTCAGTCCTGAGTGCTGTGGACACAGAGGTGAAGGGGAACCCCAGAACTCTAAAAAGAGCCATCAGAGAGGGCAGGCAGTCACTGAGGAGACCACTGAGACATCTTCTGAGGAGGGCTAGGGAGAACTGAGCAGGGACGTCACAGAGGCAGGCCATCCAGTGCTGTGCACCTGCCTTCTAGGAACCCTGGGTGTCACAGTGGAACGATTCTTGGGCCTAGAGTTGCACTGTCCAACATGGAAGTTTAGACACACATAGCCCCTTCAAGCTGACCTTCAAATCCAGTTTCTTGGTCACATTAATGGTTGTTCTGTTGGACTGCACAGGAAGGGACAGTCCCATCATCAGAAAGCCCTTGGGCACACACTGGGCAGAAGGTCGCAGATCTACAGTCCAGCCTCTGCCCTTTCACTTCCCTGTCTCAAGCAGGTGGCTTTACCTTTTTGCACCTGTGGTTTCTCACGAGGATACCCACCTCTAAGGTGGACATAAACATAAAACTGGCTAGGGCCTGGTGTGATAGCATAATGATTAAGGTCCTCGCCTTGAACACGCCGGGATCCCATATGGGTGCTGATTCTAATCCCAGCAGCTCCACTTCCCATCCAGCTTCCTGCTTGTGGCCTGGGAAAGCAGTCGAGGACGGCCCAAAGCCTTGGGACCCTGCACCCACGTGGGAGACCTGGAAGAAGTTCCTGGCTTCGGACTGGCGCAGCACCGGCCATTGCGGCCACGTGGGGAATGAACATCGGATGCAAGATCTTCCTCTCTGTCTCTCCTCCTCTCTGTATATCTGCCTTCCCAATAAAAAAAATAAATCTTAAAAAGATAAAACTGGCTAATGGAGAAAACATTGAGTCACAGTGGGCAGCTGCAAGGTAAGTGTCCAGTACACAGTAGTTATTTTTTATCATTATCACTGGTCCTGGCAGCCATGCCTCAGCTTTTGTTGTGGTGCTGCCGGTCGGCAGGCCCCCTCCCCACTGCAGGACATATCCTCATGGTCTACTTTCTCTGACTTCTCTCGTCAGGGCCAGGCTGATCCAACCATGTTCCCAGTGAGGACAGAAGGGGTACTCACATCTGTAGAGATGGTTCCACACAGGGAAGAAGGCCATATAGAGCGCCACATCCCCCACAGTTGGGTAGGACTTAAAGATGGCGATGACGGCGATCTGGATGAACATGAAGAAGATGGGGTGCTCCCTTGGATGGGGAAGGGGAGACAGACAGAGGTCAGGAACAGGCCCACTCCAGACACTTCTGATCTCCTACCCCTTCAGGAACCAAACATATACCCCACAGGACGCGGCAGGGTCTGGCTCTGCCATCCACAAGGCATGCCTACACCAGGCCAGATGCAGTGAGAAGGGCCAAGCCCCACAAACTCCAGAGAAATAGCCCCCAGAGATATCTCCCATTTATAACCCACTCTCCACACCCCCAAACCCCATCCAATTCTGGAACCAGGAACCAGGGAGGAAGAAAACAAATGAAGTCAGCCTTCTTTATTGTTGGGCTTAAATGACAGCCCGTCAGGGTAATTACCAGCCTCCCTTGCCCAGGGCCCGTACGACAACTGGACCCAGGGCAGGAGAGGCCCCGTGCCAAGGCTCTTCCTACTGAAGATATGATCAGTGGCATCTGCTCGCGATACCCAGCAAGAAGTGCACAGAGGTGTCCAAGAACAATTACTGTTCCCTTACATCAGTGATAGTCTAAACAGTGTCAGACACCAGTAACGAGTGACAGCTGAAATTCCACTCATGCCGAGGTCCGCCCGTGGCCCTCTTCTGCATTCCCTCCCGTGAGCTTCATAACGCCTCACTGACCCTCCCCAGCAGGTGCTGCATCACTGCACTCCTCACACTGAGGCCCTGAGGTGACTGGGCTGGTAAGCAGGGCCTCGGCCTCGGGCCCCAGCTACAATCAACACTGCTCCGAGTGAGTAACACGCCTCAGAGTTCTCCTGGGAGCCGGGCTTCCCAGCCCCATCTCAGCACTCCTCTGAGACCGCCCAAGTGCTAAAGGCAAGTGGACAGGAAGAGGCCAGAACCACGTCCTCCTCAGCACCACCCACCTACATGCCATGGCCTCTGTCTGCACAGCACTTGGATTCCCAGCTCATAAAGGTTTTCCAGGACCAAGCTTCTCTGAGGCTATGACAGCAGAACCACTTCCGGATGTCTACAAGTGCTGGCTCTCAGGAGCATGGTAGGGTGCAGGGGAATGAGTGGAGATTCAAACTGAATTCCGACTCCCCTGCTTAAGAGCTGTTTGGCTCTGGGAGCTGCTTCCACCTCTCTAAGGTCACGGCTAGGGTATGACTGTTTTTCACAGAGCCTAGTGTTGCTGGGGCGGGGGCAGGCGCATCTGCATTGGATGGCTTGTTGAAGGCAGGAGATCCAAAAAGAATCCGCTTTTGAGGGAAATGAGCAGATTAACTGGAGCTCCCGAATCCCGAGTGAACTGTCATCGGGCTGTTGACAAAGGATATCCAAACATGCATGTTACCCCCTAACCTCCTCCCCCCAAAAAAAGATGGAGATGGTGGCAATCTGGACAACCATGAACTTTCTGGGGGAGGGGAGAGAGGAGTCAAAGATTAGAACAATCCCTATTCTTGTCTGAAACTGTAAGTGTGCTCCAGCCCTTCAAAATTAGGCCAGGAATAAATCCCGGGGCCGCAGCCCGCACTGCCCTTGACTCCCCACTGCAGGCTCTGGCCACAGGCACCCAAGCAGCTGAGAGCAGGTGCTCTCCAGAAAAGAGCTGAAAACCTAACAGGTACTGCCCATCTGAGGGGCAGCTGTGAAGTCAAGGGGGCAGGGGGTCTATGCCGGTCCCGTCACTTACTTTAGCTTGATGGCTAAGGGAATGGTGTAGAAGAAAACGTTGATCTGAAACACACATACAAAGAAGAGGCTGAAGTGCTCAAACATCTCTGCAAAGAAGTACCAGAAAAGGCCAATGTTTGGAGTGAGATCTGGAACGGACAGTCTGGAACGAAGAAAACCAAAAGGGAGAGAAAAAAGAAGGCAAAGTTATAAAGGGTCTGCTTGCACGGATTATCTCCTGAAGACTCTGACCACTGCTGGGCAGCCAAGGAGACCAGGCTGGGAGGCTCTCCAGGTTCCCTGGACAAAGGGAATGAACACACATGGGATAGGGGATGACAATCCATATTAAATAAACAGCAGCTAAGCCAAAGTTCAAATGAAGCAGGAATTCACCTGAGAAAGAGACCAGCTCTTCTCTACTGCCCAACGCAGTTTAAAAGGAGGAGACAGAACTTAGTGCTGTAACAAAGAAAGTTTTTTTGTTTTGTTTTGTTTTAAAGGAAAATTTATTAGAAAAGCTGAGAAAGGAGGCTCCAATCCTAGTGACGGGAGGGGCCTTTGAGATAGAAAAGACCCTTACCCCCTGCCACAGGGGCAGGAAAAGAAACAATAGATTTTAAGCCAACACTTTTTCAGCATTTCAAAGACCTGCCCAAAACAAGTTCAAAGACCCTGTCCTGCCTCCTCACAGTGGGGGCCGGGAGCCTCAGTGCCAGCCACTGCAGTGAGATTTCGGGGACTTTGGGATACACTGGCAAGGTTCTTACACAGGGCCTCCAGGACTCTTGCAAAAAGTTGGGGCTTCACTGGAAGACTTTGGCTAAATAAAAGATTGCTGAAGTTTTGATTATTTTAAAACATTACATCCTAATTTTATTAAAAAAACAAAATGTGAAATTTTAGGACCAGTGCCTGTGGCCCTGGCATCCCATAGGATCACCGATTTGTGTCTTGGCTGCACCACATCCAATCTAGCTCCATGTTTAGGCCTGGGAAAGCATCAGGAAGCAGTCCAAGTCCTTGGGGTCCTGTACCCCCATTGAAAACCTGGAAGCAGCTTTGGTTCCTGGCTTCAGATGGGCTCAGCTCCAGCCACTGCAGTCATTTGGGGAGTGAACCAGCAGATAACAGACCACTCGTCTTTCTCTTTCCGTAACTGCCTTTAAAATAAATTAATGAAAAATATCTTAAAAAAAATGAAGTTTAAATTGGTCTCAACTCAGAATTTAAAAGGGTAATGAAGGGGCATGGAGAGGAAGGGACATACAATGGCTCAGATTTCCCTGGCTGAGGCTTCTACTCTGGGTCAGCATTGGTCTCCTGCTGTTACTATATTTCCTTTTTTGTGAAATGAGATAAAGAACAGAATGTGTGACCCAGCAGAAAGCCAGGAAAAGCTTTGACCAGACAATACAAACTCCCAACCAGGCAAAACATAAAGAACTACAAGGAATCTCTTGCTATGTTCAGCCAGAATTGAACCCAAGTCAGCAGCATGGAGTCCTGATGGCAGTTCTGCCATTCCACCGGTTACCCACTGGGCTGTGAGCTCAAGCAGAGGGCAGTAACCAGTTCTTCAGGCCCTATGCAAAGCCTGGCACTTGGAAGTGTTTGTGGAATTCATGAACATACACTCAGGTAAGCTTGGAGCACTGCAAATACATTTGGATGGTCTCTAAAGGACGATCATATCGCAGTGGGCAGTTCAAATTGCCAGGGAGAGTTAGGTACAATAGCCTAGTGCTTAAGTGCTTAAGTCCTTGCCTTGCATGTGCCAGGATCCCATATGGGCACCTGTTCGGGTCCTGGCTGTTTCACTTCTCACCCAGCTCCCTGCCTGTGGCCTGGGAAAGCAGCAGAGGACGGGCCAAAGCCTTGGGACCCTGCACCGCATGGGAGACCCAGATGAACTTCCTGGCTTCGGATGGGAATGGCTTGGCTCCAGGCATTGCGACCACTTGGGGAATGAGTCAGCGGATGAATGATCTTTCTCTGTCTCACCTTTTCTCTGTAAAGTGTCAGGGACCTCCTTGAAGTACAGGAATATGTCCTCCCTCCCCAATTTGGACATGGACCCAGTCAGAGGTTTGTAGTTGGCTTTTTAATCCCACTGACCTAAACTGTACTCCCTGGACCAGCATGATCATCTGACAACTTCAAAAATACAATTCCTCGGTCCCTACCCTTGACCTTCACCAGAGCTTCGGGCCAGGTACACAGATCGACCTTCTAACAAGTCCCGCGGCTGCTGCTGAGGGCTGAGGCACTGTGCCTAATTCTCCCTGGTGACCAAGCCTCTGGTTCCGGCTGGGACTACGAAAACCCCAGTGAGTGCCCGTGGTTTCCTGGCGAGGTCATAACTTACATGAAGCCATAGACTGCGGGGATGAAATCCCAGGAGCTGAGAAGGAAGAAGGAGAGGCAAACGATTACCACCAGGCTTCCCACGTACATCATGGCGTATTCCCACAGGAAGATCCAGAAGGCCTTGCTCCTCGCTTTCACAGGGATGTACTGCCGCTAGGAGAGAAGGCAGAACGCACACTGAGCGATGCCAGAGCGGGCGTCACCACGTACAGAGGCTTCCTGCGCAATCATGTCATGACGCACGGGCCACCTGCCACGGCCTTTCATTGTATAAAAAGGATATCAATGTTCACAAAAGCTGCATCCTGACCTCAGACCTAGTGACACCATTGTTACACACACACTACATGCTGCACAAGAGAAAGAAATTCATTGCACCAATGTTTAGAGTATCAGAAAAGTCTTCAATAGAGGGACAGATACACTGTGGCATAATAACATAATTATACACTGTTTAGCTGGCTATATGAATAAACTGCATCTCAGATATCAGCATGGCTAGACCTAAAATACACAGGATTGTACGAAAAAGTTGCTGAGCAATCCATAATAACAATAATAACATTTACATAACATTATGAGATTACAGTCAAGAATTGCTATTATCTTTTATGCATAAATACACATCAATTTATGTATAGCTATCTGCATATGATTAATTATGACAAACACATTTGAAACAGTATGGCAAAAATCTTAATATTTGCTTCTTGGTGATAGTCATTTGACTATTATACTGCTTTTGTATGATTTTCCATCCTTAATTTTTTTCCTAGAAAAAGAAAATAAGATGCTAGAGGAAGAGAAATAATTTTAGAATTTGTCCTAAGAAAAATGGGAGAATTCGAAAATATGGTAAGAAAAATGGAGCAGCTAGGACTCAAGCCAACATTCATATGAGGTACAGGTATAACACGTGCTGACTTAATATGCAGCACCATAATGTAAACCCCAAACTCGTAAGATTTTATTTAAACAAGACATAGAATAATGTGCCAACAACTGATAACATTCATTTCAAGTGTTTCTGGGACATCCATAAAAATACCACTCAGGGCTGGCACCACGCAATAGTGACTGGGTCTCCACCTGTGACACTGGCATTCCACATGAGTGCAGGTTTATGTCCCAGCTATTGCATTTCCCAATCCAGCTCCCTGTCTGTGGCCTGGGAAAGCAGCACAGGATGGCCCAAAGCCTTGGGACCCTGCACCTGTGTGGGAGACCTGGAAGAAGTTCCTGGCAATGGCTGGAGCTGAACAGATCCAAAACCAGGAGCTAGGAACTTCTTCCGGGTCTCCCACACAGGTGAAGGGTCCCCAGGCTTTGGGCCATCCTCTGCTGCTTTCCCAGGCCACAAGCAGGGCTGCCGGGATTAGAACCGGTGCCCATATGGGATTCCAGTACACGCAAGGCAAGTACTTTAGCTGCTAGGTCACTGTGCCAGGCCTGTAAAATATATCTTAAACAGCAAACACTGCACATGTAAATGAGGGCATAAAAGCAATTTCAACAAACTTCCTAATACATGTACCATATGGATTCCTTTCTCTCACAGCAATGTAACTAATATGTCATTAATAAAAAGATAACCTAAACAAAAACACATGAAGCCATTTTTAACTTTATATACTGATCATTTATTTCTGGTGAAATCACTTATAAACTAGTTTTAGTAACTTTTAAGCATACAATACACTGCTGTTAGTGATAACCACTGCAGAACAGATTGAACTACATAACAAATAATTTAAACATTTTTTTTCCAAATAACTCAGACATCAAACAGGAAAGAGAAAACTTTCATGTTAGAGATGAAGTAATAAAAATACATTAATTTTTCGTCCCAGTATGGTAGCCTAGTGGCTAAAGGTCTTGCATTGCATGTATCGGAATCTCATATGGGTGCCAATTTATGTTCCAGCTGTTCCACTTCCCTTCTAGCTCCCTGTTTGTGACCTGGGGAAGCAGTAGAGGATGGCCTAAAACCTTGGGACACTGTAACTGTGCGGGAGACCCAGAAGAAGCTCCTGGCTCCTGGCTTTGGATTGGTAAGATTTTTTTCTCTTTCTCTCCTCTCTGCAAATCTGACTTTCCAATAAAAATAATAAAACTTTTTAAAAAATCACTTTTTGTATAATACAGATAGGACAGGTATTCTAAGAAAAAAGTGCAGATTTAAAAATTTAAGAGAACAGAGGCTTCAAATAAATATTCATCCTAAGATACTGCAACAGAATAAACCGTCAAAAAGGAAGAAAACAATAAAAGTAAATGCAAAATTTGTTGAAACAGAAAACAGTTATAATGAATCAACAAAATGAAAAACTAGTTCTCAGGAATGATTACTGTGTTTAAAACAAAAACTACCAGGAGGAAAATAAAAATTACTTCAATGGGTTTATTAAGAAATAAAGTAAAAGCATTCTGTAAAAACATAATAAAAATGACTCAACTAAAAATGTCTGTGTCATAGGAAAAACTAAGTTGGAGATGAATGAAAACGGTAATGAGGCATGGAGCATGTCCTCTGGCTAACAGCGACTCCCTCGCTCGCCCCTCGTCACGCAAAGACCACAGATGCAGGAGGGAGTGTGAACCTGCATAGATTACATCATAATGCTATCGCGGTTAAACATTTTAGGTTTGATGACACAACTGTAATTACACAGAAAATGACCTAGACAGAGAAAGAGGAAGAGACAGAAAGAGATCTTCCATTCACTAATTACCCTGAAATGGTCGGCATAGGGCCAAGCTACAGCCAGGAGCGTGGATACAGCCAGGAGCGTGGATACAGCCAGGAGCGTGGATACAGCCAGGAGCGTGGATACAGCCAGGTGCATGGATACAGCCAGGTGCGTGGATACAGCCAGGTGTGTGGATTCCATCTGAGCCTCCCGTGTGGGTGGCATGAACCCAGCACTCGGGCCACGTTCCACTGCTTTTCCAGGCACATTACCATGGAAATGCATTCAAAGTGCCGCAGCTGGGACACAAACCAGCACCACATGGGATGCCAGCGATGCAGGTGGCCTATGCACCATGTGGGCCACAAAAATACCCTAGTTCTTAAAAGTTACCTGCTGAATTAGCATTGATGTGTTTAGTCTGTGACTTTCCTGCAAGTGGCTTGAGAATAAAAACAAAAGCAAGGAAAAAACCTGTACATCTACCTAGGTGACTTAGATACAGGTAACACAAGAAATTGTGAAAACTTCTTAAGGCATACCAGCTCAACTTTTTTAAAAGTTAAAAAAAAAAAAATTAGGCAAGGACTTTAGCCGCTAGGCCATGCCCCCGGGCCCTCTTTCTTGTTTTCTGTCTTTCAAATCAATATTAGAGAATAAAAAAAAATTCAACAAAGTGGCATGGTATGAAATTAACACACAAATATGCACAAATAAGAAGACATAGGGTACAAAAAGCCACAACTAATACAATAAGGAAGATTTTTTTTAAAACACTGTTTTTTTTTTTTTTATTTTATTTTATTAATTAATTTTTTACTCTTTTGACATTCTTTACATAGTTAGTTAGGGTGAAAAGGCTCAAGGGCTACAGGAAAGTGGGTAAGACTAGTATTTTTTCCATATCATTTCCTTCATGTTTAAAGTTGGGTATTAAGGGAGAAGGGGATTAGAACCAGCGCCCATATGGGATTCCGGCACGTTCAAGGCGAGGACTTTAGCCGCTAGGCCCCGCCGCCGGGCCCAATAAGGAAGATTTAAAATTAAATTTAGTAAGTGCAAAGTGGAAGAAAAATTTTAATGCACTTCCAAGAAACGAGTAGAGCAAATGGAATGATATCCTTTGTTGTTCAGAATGATTTTTTTTTAATGGTTCAATGTTGTAAAGATGGCTGTTCTCCCTAAGTTAATTTTTAAATTCAATGCAATAATGTGAACACAATAATATCTCCAACATAGAGCCAGCGTGATGGCTCAGCCAGCTATTCCTCTGCTTTCAAGCGCCAGCATCACATATAGGCGACCAGTTTGTGTCCCAGTTGGTGCCCCTGCCATCCAGCTCCCTGCTTGTGGTCTGGGAAAGCCCTACAGGATAGCACCAAAGCCTTGGCTCCTGCTCCAAGTGGGAGACCAGGAACAAGCTCCCGCCCGCTGACTTTGGATGGGCACAGCTCTGGCCATTGCAGACATTCAGGGAGTGAACTAGCAGATGAAGATCTTTATCTCTCCTCTCTGTAATTCTGTCTTTCCAGTAAAAATATATCAATCTTCAGGAAGAAAAGCTTCAACAAGTCATTTCCTAGAGTTACACAAGATTTTAGCATTCTTAGAATAAAGAAAAAAAAAGATTTTAGCATTGTTGGGGGAAAACTAATATGCAATAATAGTTCAGAAAACACTAAAGAAAATTTACAAATGGAAGACTACCCCAATAGACATTACAAAACCTCTATAATTAAAACAGTACAATAGATAAGTAGAACAAATTAAGAATTTCTAACATTAAATCTACACATATGCACACATATATATATCCATACATATGCATATGTGTATATAAATGTGAACCTAAAGGAATTGTTTACTTAATTGAATGGCAGAGTAACAGAGAAAATCTTCCATCTGCTGATTCATTCCCCAGATGGCTTCAACTGCCATGGCTGAATTAGGCCAAAGCCAGGAGTCAGGAGCTCTATGGATCCTTCCATGCCAGGGGCCTAGACGCCTGGGCCATCCTCTACTGCCTCCCCAGAGCACCAGCAAGGAGCCGGATTGGAAGCAGAACAGCCAGCACTCCAATATGTAGTGTGGGAGTGGCAGGTCACCCCCTGTGCCACACTGCCAGTCCCAAGAAGGACTTTCGAATCAATGGTGCTGGTGTAACCAGACCTTGTTTGCAAAAGATACAATTAGACCTATTATCTCACACCCATTCATAAGAATAAACTCCAAATAGATTAGAGATTTAAATATTTATTTTTTAAATGGAGCCAAGGGCAGGCATTGCAGTACAGCGCGTTGAGTTGCCACCTAAGATGCCCACACCCCATGTACAAGTGCCTGGATTCAAGTCCCTCCCTCAGCTCCGACTTCAGCTAGCTCCTGCTTTAGGCCTAGCCGAGCCTCAGAAGTTGCAAACATTTGAAAAGTAAACCAGCAAAAGCGTATCTCCCTCTCTATTGA